CCTGTCTTAACTTCCCATAAACGGATAGACCCATCCTAACTACCAGATGCTAATGTACGACCATCAGAAGAGAAGCATACTGAACAGACTTTATTAATATGACCGTCCAATTTGGCCTTTTACTTTCCAGTCTAAACATCCCATAAACGAATTGATCTATCAAAACTACAAGATGCTAATGTACAACCATCAGGAGAGAAACAAACTGATACAACAGAATCATCATGAAAATCCCCTTAGGTCATTACTTATTCTGCCTTAGCATCCCATAGACGGATAGAGTTATCTTTACCACCAGATGCTAATGTATAACCATCAGGAGAGAAGCATACTGAAAAGACATTATTAGTATGACCATCCAATTTGGCCTTTTACTTTCCTGTCTAAACATCCCATAAACGAATTGATCTATCAAAACTACCTGATACTAATGTACAACCATCAGGAGAGAAACGAACCGATACAACAGAATCAGTATGACCATACATATAATGCTTTACTTTACCTGTCTTAACATCCCATAACCGAATAGACTTATCGTCACTACCAGATGCTAATGTAGTACCATCAGGAGAGAAGCTTATTTAGTGGATGGTATCACTATGATCAGATATAATAATTGTTGTTCTTTTTTCTATATCCCATAAATGAATTGAGTTATAACCGTTGCCAAATGCTAATAGAGTACCATCAGGAGAGAAGCATACTGAATCAGGATTTTTTCCATACCGAGACAATTTGGTTTTTTATACTCCTGTTTTAGCATTCCATAAACGGATAGACTTATCATCACTACCAGATGCTATTGTAGTACCATCAGGAGAGAAGCATACTGAGAAGACATTATTAGAATGACCATAAAACTTCGCTTTGATTTTTCTTGTCTTAACATCCCATAAACTGATAGTCCAATCCTAACTACCAGATACTAATGTAAAACCATCAGGAGAGAAACATACTGAACTAACTTCGTAAGAATGACCATCCAACTTGGCCATTTACTATCCGGTCTTAACATTCCATAAACGAATTGATTTATCTTAACTACCAGATGCTAATGTACAACCATCAGGAGAGAAACAGACTGAGTTGACTTTACCACGATGACCATCAAATTTATTAAGCTCACGTATTTTTAAATTGGTCCATTTACAATTAAATAACAGCGCTCCATTCAAATTCATACCATCTATATCTACATTCTAAAATTACGATCCACTTAAATTACATCCAAAAAAATTAGCTCCCACTAAGGAAGTATTCTAAATTTTGATATTTTCATAATTTTAATTTCTTAGGTCCACCTTTATTTAAGTTAATAAATTTAATGCATTTGACCCACATAAAATAAACTTATTGTCTATTGAAGTTAAGCGAACTAAAAATTTAAAAAACTCTTTGATATATTATTAATTTTCTATTATTTTAATTAGAGCCTGTCTCTATCCCTAATATCTTTTATTAGAATAATCTTATTTATTAAAGTCATGATCTTTAATTTTTAGAATGACATTAATAACTTTTTTGATGTTTTTTCTAACTAAACACAAGTTCTATTCTATTTCTTCTTTTGTTAAATTCTCTCTTTGTTAAATGTACTCTTCAAAAAGTCTTGTATTTTCATTAGCTGTAAGAAATTGAATCCAGTCTTAAACATTCACTTTTTTTAAGATCTCAATTATTTAAATGTACATTTTTTCATTCACACCCTTAACTTGAGCTAAAATTGTTGCTAAGTTATTTTTCTACCTATTTTGGTCATTCATTTTATTTTGTTAAAAAAATTAATGAGGTTCGATTACTTTACCTTTGAGTTTTATACTACACAAATAAAAAAATATGGAATGCTATATTAATAAAGAAGAATATAGAATAAATATTAATATTGCAAAATATAGAATTAGATATAAATTGCTAAAATTTCTGTTTGAATGAAAAATTGTTTAATACTCTATTTGTAAATATTTTCTAAAAAAATTTAATAACTTCAAATCCATTACTCTAATATAACCTATAATATATATAGAGATTTTTGTTTTGATCATTATCTTATTCAATTTTTAAGTTTTATTCTAATTGCCAAAAGCAGGACTAATGACCATCGTATCAAATATATATATCAAATATTTTACAAATAATATAGCACTTATAAATGATATTTAGATATTTAATAGAATTAGAAATAAATATAATATCTATGAAAAGCAAAATTAATCTACATACAAATGTTCTAACATAGATCATTAGTATTTTGCTTGAATTAATTATTTTAAGCTAATAGAGTGCATTACAGTATTAATAAAGAGTTTAAAGGTCATATTCATCATAATTTTGATTTAAAAAAATGATGATTAAATTAAGTTTGTTAAGACGGTCGAAAAAGAACTGTAGGTAAGATTTTTATAAATAGGAAATATATCCAATATTACTTAAAATGATTTGATTCTTATTTAACATATTCAAGATAAATAACATCAGACCTTTTGAATTGGGATTCAATCAAAGAAAATCTTAAGACTTATTTAGATTAAGATCTTAAAATAATGAGCATAGCTCTCAAATTACGATAAGTAGGATAAACCTAAAATTAAAATTATTAAAAAGGGATTTTTATTACATCATTGATTATCTTTTTTTAAGAAAATTTCAAGATTAGAATGTTTAATGACAGATATTGATGTTTGTAGATATTAGACAATAGATTCATGACACCAAAACAAAAGAAAATTAAATTATATTAGATGAATTTCATAAATCTATATTTATAAAGTAATTTTAGATTTATATATATAGATAAAATTGTTTAAATATCTAAATCTCAATTATAATGAATCCAACACTTTCTATAATTTGGAATTTAGAAGGATTGCAAAGATATAGGAGCATATAGTAAAAATTTAAAAACTAGTAAATAATAAATGTATTTTATATAAATTTTAGTTTTGGGGGATTATAAGATATTAATTAAAAAAGAGATAGTATTATAATAGGAAATTGATTGATCATCATAATTCTTTTTAAATAATTAGAATTTATTTTTTTTTTCTATATGCTCAATATCCATTATTCATAAACTCTATTAGTTTCATCAATTAAGTCTTTTGGAAATCCAAAACCAAGACTCTTCCAAAAAAATTCTTTTTCAGGATTTACCATAATTTAGTAACCCTTATATTAATTACTATTATATTAACATAGCAGATCAAAAGAAACCAAAAAAACTTCAATATTTTTTTTCATAAACATTTTGACAAAAGTATGTAATTACTTACTTCTTTCTTTATATATTAGCATCAATATAACCCAAATGTTACATTAACTTCTAATAATTTTAGAATTCACTATTTATATATTTCAATATTAATTAATTCTTTATTATATGTATATAACGCATCTAAAAAAATTAAATATCAGATGATATTTTTGGCAATCCTAATTATAGATACTATTTTCCTTCCAGCCAATAGATTTTCAATAGATAGGCACATTATCACATTTAATTATAATTTCCTAATTCTCTATTATTTAATCTTAATTGAACATTATGCGTATTAAGTTTTCAATATTAATTCCTTCAAACACTTATATCTAAATAAATAGCAACTCAAAAATGATGAATATTATTTTTTATCATGAGATTCTTATTAGGATTGGGTCATGTCTATAAAAACTAGATAGAAAGCAATGAAAACATGTTTTTTTTTCCCATAAATTAAATCTATAAAATGATTTTAATAGAGTATTTTCTGTCAGTAGTGTTATAAGCATTAAGCAAACCAATAAAAATAATATTTTGCTCTTCATTCTTAGAATCAACCTTCAAAGTGTATCTCTGCAGAAGAAATCACCTTCATCTTTTCTTTAAAGACCCCTTCCACTCTTAGCAAAAATATAAATTATTATATGTCTATGAAGTCATATTTGTTCAACTTTATTATTCTCATAACCAAAGCATATCCATTTTCTTTCCATTTGTCTAAATCATATAAATTCCAATCATATTATTACTTCTCTTTATATATTTACTATATATAATGCAGAGAGATAGAATAAATAAAATAGCTTTATTATCTATTTATTTATATCTCTATTATTATCCTTTACTTTAGTTATCTACAAATCTCCAAAATACCCCTATTTGTTCATTTCACTCCAATTGTTGTAATCATAGTTCACTCATTATTTATTTAAACTAAATTAGTAAATCATCAATTTTCTTGATAATATTGAGAATGCTCCACACATTCTTATATATCATAATCTATGTGGTGTGATAAACTACCTTATGAATTTTATATTTCATTAATTTAAAAAAAAATGATTATAATCGAATTAATAGATATAAATTATTTTAGATAGATAATTCAATTCCTTTTCTTATTTGCTAATTTTTATTCCAAGATTTTTAATTTGCTTATAACATAACAAAAATTAAAACAAAAAAAAACTTAACCAAACTAGTTTACATTACTAAAGGATACAGAATATTAGGAATAAGTGTCAAATATAGTCATAACAATAAATCAAAAGTTAATTTACCAATTTGATTAAGTTTTTTTTAAATAAATGATAAAAAGTATTCAAAGAATATCATAAAGTTTTATTCTAAAAATGCTTTCACAAAAAATAGAATTTAGATTTAAAGCTATTCAATTATGTCCACTTGGCATAATTAGTTAGATTAAAAATTTTTTTTCAAAATAGAAGAGAGTTGATCATATAATTTAAGAAGTTGATACTTTTTTATGGAAATTTTATTAAAAGAACTATTGTTAGTGTGATTACATTTTCACTTGTCTAACTTAATTTTTGCCTAATTATTATGATGATTTTTATTCGATTAATCTCTTAAATTTTTACAAATTAATCATCCTTCAAATGAAATTATAAAATGTAAATATTAATCAAATAATATAGAATTTTTATTGGACTAATATTTACTCTACTTCCTTAGATTGTAATCAAGAATAAAATTAATATTCTTTTGCTTTAATCTGAATTCATATGAGTATTTGATGTAACGAATTAATTTCTTTATCTTTCAAAATCAAATTTCTTCCATTTTGACATCCATACTTTCCAATCAATATAAGTTTCAAGAAAAACCTATTTAAGTATCTTAATACTTATATCAAATAATACTATTATAAATCTTGATTTTAAGCTTTTATTTATAAAATTGTTTATGAACTTCTTTAACCTATTAAACACTACGAATACAAAATAAATTAATAAAAGATCAAAATATTGATTAATTGTTGATGAATGTAATATTATTACTCATATTAACTTAAAATATACACATTATTTTTATGAGTAAGTTTTGCTTGTATCTATAGATTGTAATTAAATTAGTTTTGATTACCCAGGAGGAATTTTTTTATAGACTACATCTTTGGAGATATCTATCCCTATCCCTTCTAGGTTATTGACTTCAAATTTAATCGTTTCTTAATATGTACTAGATTCTTTATTTTCATAATAGATAGCAACTCACAAACCTCACTAAATTCTGTTAAAAAATCTTTAATGCTCATCCAAAATATTCCATCATTTTTCCAAAACATTTCGTCCTTTTTTGACAATTATCTCTATCTAAGTTCTGGTGTCCATTTTACAGAATAATAACTCCAGTCTTTTGTCCATTATTTTTTAGTCCAAGTCTATTCAAATTTACATTAAACGATATACATTTCTTATCTTAATGATTATATCTGGTATTCCATCACTTTCAGTAACCTTTTGTATATCAAAAATTGCATAATAATGCTATTAATCTTTTTTTAGTGAAGATGTCGCCAATATGTATTATTGTTTGAAATTTTTTTTCTATGAACTTTAATTGATATCTTATTATGTTTCACCATTTCTAATAAAATATTTATTAGGACTTCAATTAAATCTCTTAAGGTGCAACCTACTATACTTGATTATATTTAATTATACATTCAAATTAAAAATTTTGATTATTTTCTTAAACACATTATTTTATAATTTGTTAAAATTTATCTAAAACATGTAAAAGACCTAGATAGTTTAGCATAAGCTTTTTCCAACAGAAGCACCTATAATTAATTTCTATCTTCTCTTGAGAATATTGGACCTATACTGCAAGGAATATAATCATCCACAACAATTTCTTGCCAAAATCCATTTATACACATTTAAATTCCATAAAGGCCTTAAAATTTAGGTACTACTCGTACTACTTTATTAATAATCTTGATTTATGAATAGTTTCTTGATTTAAAAGGGGCCAATATAGATAAGAAACTTAAAAATAGCAAGTTCACCTTATTTAATATGCATTGGATATTTGACTATTGATTAATAGAGATTTTTACATCAAACAAGTTAATTGAACCAGGCTACAAAAATTGATTAGGTCTTTTCCAAGTAATGTCTTTTCCTTTCTTAAAATTGCGATCTGAGGAAAGGCTGCATAAAACAGGAAAAAATTCATTATTCTCAAATACTTATCATTATTTTTTGTATGTTGAATAGATTTAGTGCTTGGACTATATAACGATTTTAATACTTCATTAATGGCATAAATTCTTTCATTCCTTTATTTAACTTTTCAAAAAAGCTTTAATTTCTTATTCACATCAATTCTTAACCTTTTCCAGCTTTATCAAATTAGAATTTTTCAAAACATTCCAATCATCTAATTTTTATTCTATTACACTTTAGACAAATTTTTCTAAATCAGAATATGATAATTCTGTTGGATTAAAATTTTTTTTTCGAATTTCATTTAGGATTTATCTTAATTCTCAATTAGACCATACAATTATTTTATTGATTCTGATAACTCAACTCAAATTTTTCTCCAGCATGGTTTGAGTTTAAGAAAGCACTGATTTAAAATTCATTCTCTATTTTGTTAATTTAGATGTTTAATCAACCCAAGATTGTTCAAATTTTTTGATAACAATTTTAAGAAATATATTTATCGATACTGTATGCTTAGCTTTAGCTCCATGTTCATCAAGGCAATCAGCACAAAATTTTCTTTAAAATTAACATTTGCGAGGAGCTATACATATTAATGATATTTGATTTTCAAAATTATAAGCGCAATTCATTATTTTATTTTATATAGATTTCTATTAAATTTATACAATAAAGTAAAAAAAGTATCTTATGAATTTTTCTTAGACTGAAAACAAAACTTATGAGGTTAAATTGCTTATGTGAAAATCAAAAATTTTTATTCATATTTTAAGAGTGTAATAAATACATAATTGAAATTATTAATATACAAAGATTATCGGCGCTCCATTATATTAATTATTAATCTAAATATTGTATTTATATCAATTTATCACTTTATTTTTGACTACTTTCTTCAGGTTCTTAGATGTTTTAGTTTTGATTGGCTAATGCTAAATTTTATTTCGAATATATTAAATTAGCACTTTGTTAAAATTCTATGATGATTAAAATATTAATTGCTAGTGAATATGGAAACTTTTTTAAATATATAAATAGAAATTTTATGAAAAATTCTAAAGACTCAGATGTTTGTTACCGAAAAATTTGAAAAAGAGAAATATAAAAAGGACTTCAAAAGGTGAGGCTAATTTTTTCTACCTACATGAGATTTAATAATTTGATGTAAAAAGGAAGTGAAAAGTTAAAATATAAATATAAATTCATAATTACCCTAGTGAAAAAAACTATATTGGCTGAAGTTCATCAAAATTAATGGGTCTAAGATGATTTTTTATTAGTTAGAAATAATAAATACATTAATTAATATAATTTAGCCATAATACTGTTACTGATTTTATATCAGATCTCATCTATTTATTGGTCTATTATCCTGCTACTTTTGAGAATTCCTTTAGGAATTTTATTATTTTCCACAAAAATCTGAATGACCATCTTTTAAATTTTATAAAATTAATAAAATCCTTGTATTTATTTTTAATTACAAAAGAATAAATCATTTTGTTATTTGAACCATTAATTAGTTTCAAAGAATAGAAATTAATCTACTTTTTTTTAGTTTGTCTAATTTCGGCAAATTAAAGTATTTTAAAAACACTATATCTTTAATGATACATTTATTACTTTTTTAAAGTAACAAATTTTTAAATTATTTTCTAATTGAATTTATGTGTTTTAAACAGTTCAAAGTTGATTTTTATTCTATGTCTAAATCTCATATTGTCTTAGGTTAGTTTAAAAACAAATTGAGAAATTCAAAATATATTGGATTTTTGAATAACAATTTTATAAACTAAATTTATAGACTATGACTTAAATGTATTAAAAAGAATAACCTGTATTGATAATATCCTTAAAATTATATCAACTTTCTGTTTTAAAAAGTTATCCACCTCCCTTGATATTTTAAGTGTCACAATCTTCATATAAGCCTTCAATATCCCGTAAACTATATAATTCAATACCATAATTCCAATCACCCTATCTTTTTTTAAATTAGAGTATTTATTACAAGTATATTTAAACAGCCCTATTCTGATTTGAAACTAATTCTGTAGTTTTTTTATGATAAAACCCTTTAAATATTTCTTATCCTCTAGTTAAGTTAAGTTATTCTTTAATAAACAGATTGTTAAATTGAAGAATAGGTGATAAAAAAAAGGGACAACAAAAAATTCTTCTTTTTGAGATTTTTTCCCGATTAATTGCAATAATAGCATTCATATTACTAATATTATTTTATATTTAAGATTAAGATATAATTCCAACTTTTTCATTATATTTAATCAACACTCTTCTGTTTAAATTGCTCTTACAATTTATATAACAACTAATTTTTCTATTATAATCAAAATAATTGACTATCATCATAGATTTATATCATATGAAAATTTTCATTTGTTTATGACACAAAATTTGCTCAAATATACATTTTTATATATAAAAATGAAGTTTAGTGTTTAGTAGAACAATCTCAGAAATTTTTATTAGCGTAATTTAAACAGAATACAAAATAGCGATTCTATAGAGCTAATATGTGAATGTAATAATTTGATGATATTTTACTTATAAACTCTACAAATTTTAAAACTACTATTTAGTAATCATCCTTTATATTGTTTCTACATCTGAAAATTCATTGGTTTTACAAATTTTCACTAGCTCTATATCATTTATATATATAACTATTAATATATTTTAAAAATATAAAAGATTAAAAAGGCCAGTAATAGAGTTTTGAAGCTGAATAATTTAATTTAAATTCCTCAAACAGTTTATCAAAAAGGAATTTTGTATATAAAAAAGTAACTCTACAATTTTCAATAAAAAATTACATGTAAATTCAATTATTATTTTAGTAAATTCATTAAATTATTTCATTATAAAGACAAAATTATTGAACTTAGTAATAGAATCTTAGAGGTACTCTCATAATTCAATTTATTATTAACTATACCAATAGTTTTATTTTAGATGTTAAATAATGAAATTCTTTTCCTTTGTTTATTCACTATTTTAAACCCAATAATTGTTTTTATAATGAGATTTTATTACAAGATAATTTAGAAGGATTGCTGCTTTCATCAGCCAGTTTCTTCTTCTTATTTTATTGATGACACCTAATGTCATTATATATGTTTTTTACTTAACAAAATATTTATTATACTATTTTAGATTAACAATGAAATCAGAATTTTATAAAGAGGCAATAATTTTTAGAGGCAATATAAATTATATCACAAGTTTTCTAGAACAGCTTTTAAATTTTTAGAAGAATCATAATTTATAGATTAATAGTTTCAAGTTTGAACAAAATGGATTTCAATAAAGTTTTTCATTTAATGCATTTTTTNTTCCCGATTAATTGCAATAATAGCATTCATATTACTAATATTATTTTATATTTAAGATTAAGATATAATTCCAACTTTTTCATTATATTTAATCAACACTCTTCTGTTTAAATTGCTCTTACAATTTATATAACAACTAATTTTTCTATTATAATCAAAATAATTGACTATCATCATAGATTTATATCATATGAAAATTTTCATTTGTTTATGACACAAAATTTGCTCAAATATACATTTTTATATATAAAAATGAAGTTTAGTGTTTAGTAGAACAATCTCAGAAATTTTTATTAGCGTAATTTAAACAGAATACAAAATAGCGATTCTATAGAGCTAATATGTGAATGTAATAATTTGATGATATTTTACTTATAAACTCTACAAATTTTAAAACTACTATTTAGTAATCATCCTTTATATTGTTTCTACATCTGAAAATTCATTGGTTTTACAAATTTTCACTAGCTCTATATCATTTATATATATAACTATTAATATATTTTAAAAATATAAAAGATTAAAAAGGCCAGTAATAGAGTTTTGAAGCTGAATAATTTAATTTAAATTCCTCAAACAGTTTATCAAAAAGGAATTTTGTATATAAAAAAGTAACTCTACAATTTTCAATAAAAAATTACATGTAAATTCAATTATTATTTTAGTAAATTCATTAAATTATTTCATTATAAAGACAAAATTATTGAACTTAGTAATAGAATCTTAGAGGTACTCTCATAATTCAATTTATTATTAACTATACCAATAGTTTTATTTTAGATGTTAAATAATGAAATTCTTTTCCTTTGTTTATTCACTATTTTAAACCCAATAATTGTTTTTATAATGAGATTTTATTACAAGATAATTTAGAAGGATTGCTGCTTTCATCAGCCAGTTTCTTCTTCTTATTTTATTGATGACACCTAATGTCATTATATATGTTTTTTACTTAACAAAATATTTATTATACTATTTTAGATTAACAATGAAATCAGAATTTTATAAAGAGGCAATAATTTTTAGAGGCAATATAAATTATATCACAAGTTTTCTAGAACAGCTTTTAAATTTTTAGAAGAATCATAATTTATAGATTAATAGTTTCAAGTTTGAACAAAATGGATTTCAATAAAGTTTTTCATTTAATGCATTTTTTTGTAATGCATAACTTTTTAGAAGAAATATTTGAAGATTTCTCAAAGATTTGATAAATACAATTAATGTTAAAAATAATAATTGATAAGCATATTCTCTATTATAACTAATTGCTTTGTAATCTTACAATTTCTAAATAATTCTAAATTTATTTTTCTTTTTATTTTTTAAGAATACATAAATCTCTTAAAATTATTTATTATAATTCATAATTACTCTAGATCCTTAATAAATTTACACTTATTTCCAATATTTGATAATTATTCCAAGGTCAACTTTAAAATTCTTAATAATATCCTCTTATTCATCGGAGACTCCAAATTATTGTTTATGCTACTCTAATAACTAATATATAATGGTAGCTATAACTTATGCTGAAAACATAAAAATTCTTTTATTAAAAATATTCAACTTTTAAGCCCAGCTTATTCTGAGTTTTCAACATTTATATTTGATTAGTAAAAAGCCAATCCAATTTTAAAAGGTTAATCAATAAACATTATATAAGCTATTGCCCTAAATGACATTTTTTAAACTATATATATTATTCCATGTTTTTATGCTTTCTTCACAGAATAATCATTTTCTCCTCTCTTTTAGATATGTTTGGCCCAAAGTTTTGAAGATTTATGAATAATAATCTTGATAAGATGCTACCTTTAAATAAATTATCACTTTCTTTATTGTGCCTTCTTTAAAAAATACATTATAGAAAAATTAATTAAAATAATTGTTATATGTGATAATATTAATATAATTGTTTAATCAATAAATTTAAATTATTACCTATAAAGAGTAAATAAAAATTTAATTGTTTTTCTCATATAATACATTAAAATTAATAAATAAATAGATACATAAATAATTTAAATCATAATGGATTATATCAAATCCTATTATCTGTGAACACAATTTAAAAGGATAATTAAATTATAAACACATTGATTAATGTAGAAATTAAGATGATATTTGATTATATCAAAAAATTTAAGTACTATTTTTTAAGATTTCATTAGGTTTTTAAATTATAAATATTAATTACATTTACATTTAGTATTAAGATATATTATCAAACCAATTTGATTAAAATAAAGTATCTAAATCATACTATAATGAGATTAATAAATTATATAAACTAGGAAATTAAACTGGATATCTAATTTTAATTATAACAGTATTTATTAATTAAATTAGACAATTTATCACCAAGGGCTCTAATTATTTTAATATTTTTGACTATCAAATATCTTGATTCCATTTATATATTTGCATCAATATTAAATTTAAATTAGAAATCATTTCTTTCAGTATTAATCTGGTGATTAGTAAGTTATGCAATTTCTTATCTAGATTTAAAGAGTTTTGACAAATGATGAAATTCTAAGTTAATTAGTTTCAATCTTTTCGTATTTCTAGTATTACCAAATAAATTGTTAGATACAAGTATAAAAATTTTCAAGCATTCTATTTTTAAATTATGATTGTATCATTTTCTACTAAATTTTAGCAAATAAAATCATTCTAAAATATCTAAGAATAATTATTAATTTAGTTGTTTAGCTCCCTTTATCAATTAAATTATTAAAATCAAAATATGATTATTGCTCAATTCATTTACAACTTGATAAAAATAAAGAATACTGGAGCAAAGTTTAAACTAAAATAAGAAATGATATAGATTAATGTGTTTATGAATGAGGATATATTCTTACATAATTTTTTTATTTTGAAAAATACAAATCAAAAATAAAGTGTTTTTTCAATAAATGAATATTGATAAGAAATTAAAAAAATTAATAAAAATTAAATTATTAATATGAACGAATATTATCTTTATATTTAAACTTGTGAAATTTTAATTTCATTTACTGAAGAATAGATTCATTCTTTTAAATTAATGAATTATCATCATTTATTCATATGATTGATTTCATTCCTTTGAAAATCCAAACAACTATTTTTAATCAAAAAGATATAATTATTTTTTTTTAAAGCGATTCTGTGTAACTATAATCTTAAGATTTCCCATTTCCTTAATCATGTAAATATATGATTCTTGTCTATTTCTCAATTATTGATTCCAATCCTAAAGCTTAAATCTTCTAAGAATTTTCTAATTTATTCTTTTGTAATTATCTCATAAAATATGCTATTTTTCAATCACAAAAGCAAATAAAAAATTGATTACATAAGACTAAGCTATTCATATAAATAGATTATCAATTAATATATAACAATAAAATTTTCAGTTTCTAAAACTATATAACAGTAAATTTATAAAAATATTAACAACAATTTAAACAAGAAATTAAATAATTAATAGAAAATATTTTGTTTGATTTTAATATTATTTATTCATTCATGATTATTAATTTTTAATAGATGCTTCTTCACCATATAAGCAAAATAGTAATTAATTATAGAATGATAAATTTCTATTTTAGTGATTACTTTTATTTTCTTAAACAAATTGTTCAATAATTATAATAAGTTTTATATATTACTATGAACATTTACTTTAATCAAAAACAATGAACATATCTTATCAATATTAAAGAAAATAAAAATATTAAAAAGATATTATAAGCAACACGTCAAATAAACTAAAGAATAAACCTTTTACTGTTTTAAGATATTATTCTAAAATGATGATCATTTTTTTTTTGTTCTTATTTGAATATTTAATTGGAATGATAATAAAACCCAAATCTATACTCATCTAATTAATAATAGTAATAAAATTCAATTAACTATTTTGATATCATATTTCACAGAAATGTAAATTGTCAACTCAAGAAATTAAATGCTTATTAAGAAAAGAAGTGATCCTGTCAATTTTATAGAAAATTAAAATTAAAAGTTGATGGAAAGAAAGCTTAGTAAAAATATCAATCTTATTCATCAAGTTCAACCCATCTGAAGGGAAATTAAAATAAATATATTGAACTGTATCAAGCTTATGTTTTTTCAATATAATTATTATCTAAGCAATTAAATCAATAAATACTGTTTTTAAATTAGAATTATATTTTACATTTTTTCTTAACTTTTTAATTTGTAAAAATTAATTAATTTGTAGATTATAGAATTACATTATTTATATTAATTCTTTAATTTAATATATAATGTTTCAGATTCAATGCCTTTCGGGTCATAATTAGAATGCCGACTTTTTTTGTGCATATGAAAATTGCAAGGACAATAGATTTCATTGTTTTAATCAATGCATAAAGAATGATCACAAACATATTCATAATGATTAATATTTATTTAAAATAGATGAATTTCCAAATTATATAAAAATAGGCAACATTTAATTTTCAGAGACTATAAAATAACTTGATAAAATAGTTGATGACTTATGCTTTTAATTCAAAGAATTAAAATAAAATCTTTAAAAAACATTTGAATGGACATTAGATAGGTTTAAATGTTTAAGGGGAAATAATTTAAATATTGCTTTGGATAATATGATTAAATTTGATGAATATAGGAAGAGATTTATGATGAATATCAACTAAAATACTTAATTATTACACTAAACTCTTAAAGAAAGTATTCAGGAATTAAAAGTAAAATAAGTAATTATTTATATTATAAATTAGATGGATCTTTTTTAATATTATCTTTTATAGTAATGTTAAATAAAAGAGAAAGAAATATGTAAGACAATAGCTTAAAATTAAGATTCATCTATAATAATTTGTGGATTTTAGAATTTTATCAAAATATATTAGTTTAAAAATTAATCTTTTTAAGAAATATAAGTAATTAAACAATTTGAAGCAGTTAAATTATTTTTTATTAATGACACAGATGGATTTATATCTTTGGCAAATAAATTAAATTGTTTTGGTCTTTCTACTGATATTAGTACTAAGATTGATATTTTTTAAAAAGTCAATAATTTATGGTAAAAATAACATTCCATAGATTCACCCTTCATCCCTCAATAATTATTCATAACAAAAGATGAATCATTTATGTTATTAAGTCAAACTATAAACCTTATTATAAAATAGATAAGTATAACTAAGTATCAAAAATGTAATGATTAAAAATGGATTTATTAAAAAGATTAGTTTTAAGAAATTAGAGATTTTGAATTTTTTAATGCTGATATGAATGATTCCGAGAATATTATTATTTTTAGCTGTGAATCAAAGATTTAGATCATTTAGAAATAATATTAGGCAAAAAAATGGGATTTAATACAAAAAACTAAAATATAAGAAAAATAACCTTAAATAAAATTTATTTAGGATTATTCATTTATATCTTCTGAAAACTCTTAGTTATGTATTTATACTTTAAACTAAAATAATTTATAGTTTGAAAAAATAAAATCAATTAATTTTTATACTGGAAAGATAATTTCAAATAATATTATAATTATACAATTTATAAAATAAAAATAGCTATTATTAATTTCAATTAATTCCAAATTGAATATAATTAAAGTTTATCAAAATAACGATTTAAAAATTGAATATTGTGTTGAAGATGGTAAGTTAGAAGGAATGATTAGTAATGATGGAAACGTTTTACTAACATATGATTAAGATTCTAAATAAATTGCCTTAAGATAGCTGTGAGAATGAAATATTATATCATTAAGAAAAATATAATATTGGTATTGTTTTTCAATTATTATTATCTTATACAATAAAATATAATTAAAAATTAAAATTATTAAATGTAGAAGTATTAATTGCAAAAGTGATAATAAAATGAAGTTTCTTATATTGATGAAACAATCAGTCCAAGTATTTATTAAATAAATGAATTATTTAATTATCAGATACAATATGAATTAAAATTCAGTTTAATATTCAAAAAAAATAATTCAGAACTTTTTTATTTGAGTATGAAATATAAGCAAAAGAGGGATTATGATCTTAAAATGTGCTATTTATTTATAATTAAACTACCTATAGTTTGAAATCAAATTTTATGTAAAAAATTATTGATTAGAATATTAGAAATTAAATTATAAAAATATACAAAAAATTCTTCTTAAAAAGCTTAATAATTTACTTAGCAATCATAATATTGATTTAATATTTATCTTATCTAATTTAATAATAATGAAAAATCAATCTTCTATTTTTTACAGTCTTTAAAATGATGAAATAATAGAATTCTCAATTTTACAAATACATCAGAAGTATTATCATATTAATAATAATATTTTTGAAACCAATATGTTTTTCAAATTTTTTTTATAGCAATTCAACATTACTCTTATAACACTCTTCCTCACTTTGAATAGTTTAGTGTTTATAATTTTTGTAGATAAAAACAGCACCCTAAATAAATTTAAATAAAATTAAATATAATCATAAGGTTACAGCAATCCGCTTATAAGCTGTGAGTAATACCTTTTAACCCAAAAATTTGTATAAATTCATTTGATTCACAAGTAATTTGATACTTAATGCTCAATAGCATTTAAATTAATTTAATTTCCTTTTAGAAAAATATCAACTTTAAATTTAAA